AATGAGTAGTGTTTAGCTTTAATATATATATATATATATAGTGGGTACGGAAAGTATTCAGACCCCCTTAAATTTTTCACTCTTTGTTATATTGCAGCCATTTGCTAAAATCGGCCAAGGCAAGGCAACAAATAGGGTGAGACAGATGAAGTAACAAGACACAGGTGAATGCAATCAGAGATGATGAGTCCGGCAAAGGATTATGGGAAATGTAGTCTGGGGTAGAGTGGCAAGAGTCAGAGATGTAGTGCCCTCTGGTGGAGTTCATAGGCACTCCAGCTGGAGATCGTGACAGGCCTCCTTTCATTTCGACATTGATAACTATTGACATCTACTCTTGAGCTTTTTCTTTTCTTTATTCATTATTGTGTAATTCCTATATCCCCATGTATGCTCGTGCATAACTGATATAGTAAAATACATTAAAAGCTTTTTACTGTTGTGAGATTAGTTTCTTTTCTTTCTTTCTTTTTTATCACAAACCTAAATAGTATTTTCTTGATATTCTTCAAGGATGTTAAAGATATAGGCCTAAGTTAAATAGCTATGTGATATTTCTATCTGCTGTTGAAAATTACTTCATCTAATTTAATAATAGCTTAAAATACCAAAGCTATTATCTTCAACCCCATACTGTTTAAAGTTTAAACACTGTCTCAAAAAAGTCCATCATACAAGTAGCTGTATAACAGTATAAATGTGTGTGCTATTTTGAAATTAGCCAAAGCACGTTAAGTATGGCGTTAAGATGAACAAACGTTCTCCACATGCATGTCACACGCACGTTAATATGTTTGTATAAGCTAGGTTAGGAAATAAATGACACAAAGCGAGCGCCATATTTGTTTACATACTGGATGTCTCACAGGTGCTCACAGATACCTTATACAACACTGATGAAAAACACTGACTTATTCACAGCCGCAGACGCTGCCTGGACGACTTACCTCCTACCTGCACACTCTTGTCAAACTGACTGGTCATGGTGCTGCAAAAATGTACGTTTAGCAATAACAGGAGGCTAAACCCAGCCTTTAAACTGAGCCTAAAAAACTCAATGAAAGAAATTCAGAACTTAGTGTGACATTTTTTTTTCAAAGATTGTAAATCCTTTTTTTTTTGCACTATATCATTCCTGTAACTTTGTAAATTAGTGTTAAGTACTAAAGAGGGCTGGTCTTGTAACCCACCACATACCATGATGGGTTGTAACAGCAACTGAAAACATGGCCAGTGCATGACATTATTGCAATAAACATTTTTGTTGTTGTTGTTCAAAATAATTATGCAAACCCTATTACCACTCCACATTTTATTTCAAACTTTTTTTTTTCCATTTTATTTTTATGCTTTTGATGTAGACTAAAAAACACAAGGTTTTTTTTTTGTTGCCTCACCTTTGCCTCTGTAGCCTAAATCTTTCTTTCTTTCTTTCTTTCTTTCTCACAACTTCTGTCATCTTGAAGGGTGGTGTTTTGACGTGCACCACACAAACTTAATATGGGACAGTATTCTGAATAACCTGAGCCAATGTTCTTTATATTACTGTTTATCTATGATCTCAAAATATCAGATAAGCAATTTATGAGAAACATCTCCTCCTAATTACATTTTCAAATGATTTATACGTTAATAGCTTGGACTGGCAGGATCTTGAAGAGATGCATAAACTAATCTGACTACCTAATATGAATGATCTGAGTGTGAGATGCATCCTGTTCATATTAATATTGTCATGGTGGTAACACAAATTAAAGCGAGGGGACACACAAGGCAATCGGCTCTACATCAGAACAGACTGCGGAAGTGTGCAAAATGTAGAGTACTTGAGCAATCCCACACTGATTTCACCCAGAGTGACTGGAACAGGCGTCTGCTACAGCTCCTCTTTAAAGAAGAAAAGGTAAGCTTTTTAAAAATGAGTTTTAATGTGTATTATATCAATGTGACAAAATTATCTGATAGTATACTGAAATAGATTTTGTTTTAAAATTATAGCCTATATTTTAATTGTTTTGTTTTTAAAGGCATATTCTTTAATAAATAATGTCAAATTTTTAACACATTTCTGGAAAATGTTTTTAATTTGGTATTTATTTTTCCATTGTTTGCTTGCAGAATGTAGTGAAATCTAAATAAAGGCTGTATTACTGTGAGCAATAAAATTTGCATATCATAAAATGATTTGGAATAGTTGATATAATGATGCTGCATGTGAATGGGCAACTGGCTGATTAAAGTACGTCATCTGTGTTTGCATATCAGTGTGCGTTTCTGTTCTTCTCATTTGTGTGTAAAAGGGCAAATGATCTATTAGCGTTTATTTCCAGGTTTCTCTTGACATCACAATGAGCAGTCGAGTGGATGATGTTATGCAGCTTTGCTGTGAGGTCTCAGCCAGCAGGAAGATGAAAGCAGCCGTGAAGAGCTCTGGAAAGGGAGCTGCAGCGGCTGGTGGAGGTGCTTTTGTAGGGGGAATGGTTGGAGGCGCAGCCGGCATAGCTGTTGGTAAGAACATGCCTCTGTTTTCCATGCAATCCATGAACTTTCATTTACTTTCATCACAGGGTGGTGTTATAATATCATCTTTAATGGCCTAGTGCCGTGTTTCTCAACCTATGTTGCCTTCAGTAAGGTTAATCCTTCATCAACAGCAAATAAGAAATATTATATATTACTAGAAATTACAAATATATATGATTAAAAATCATAAATTAAGTTACAATTTGTAGGACTATTACAGATATAGTAATATTATAAACATACATACACAGTATTGTTTTTATTATTTTAGTCATGTTTTATTTTTAATTATTTTAATATTTTATTTTTAATATTTTAATTTCTGTTTAAGATTTGAAAAAGCACAACACTGTAATTTGCGCCTATTCTAACTGTTAACAAAATAAGCTAGTTATTCACCTTTACAAACAAAGTTAATTAATCATACTCTGTGTATCTCTTAATATATTACTCTAGGTGGTACTTTGGGAGGTCTTCTGGGAACTTGGATGACCAGTGGCCAATTCAAACCTCTTCCTGAGATCATCAAAGATCTGCCTCCAAAATATAAGGAGAAACTGTACTCTGATGTCATGGGTGCATTGGGCACTCTGGACTGGACAGACGTGGCTGGCCTTATTGCTCTGGTTATGGGCAGTGCCACTCTGCAAGAGCAAGTTCTTGCTGCTATACTCACGTATGCCGAAAAAGAGCTCAAGGCTGAAGTGCAGTATAGAAACCGACCGCTAGAGGGTTGATGGTGAGCGTGATTTGACCAAGTACAACATGTTCCTGGATCAACATCCTCGTTGATCCTGGAACATCATTCCAATCAACCAATCAGAATTGAGAGATAACCTTTCAGGAAATGTCAGTTTTAGGCTTAAAATCAGGATTAGGCGCTTCTACACCCTTGTTAATCAGCTATCATTTCCCTCTGATTTTAGGAATAAATTATGGGTAAGGTTAGGTTTAGGGGTGGGGATTGGGTTAACCTCCTGAGACCCTGTGACCTCATATGAGGACATTATATTTTGGTGTATTTCTCTGAGACTATACATGCCACAGTTTTAAGTCTGGATGTCCTGTACAGAGCACATTCAGGGCTTTTCAGAGATACTAAATGTTTGGATGTTTCACCATGACCACTCCCTCTCCTTGGTCTTCAAATATGTCTGATATTAATTTAGTGACACTCTTATGGAAATATGATAATATTTTGTAATTATCATTTAAATCTAATTTTTAAACTGTGTGTCATAAATCAACATCTCAGGAAAATGTTATGGGGTTTCAAATCAAAATATGACTTTCTGTTACAAAACAGGATGTTGATTTCATACATGTCCTCATATGAGGACACTGGGACTAAAAGCATGTTTATTACGCATTTTGGGAGACATAACAAATGAACAGGGAAAGAAATTATATTTCTATATTCTATGAAATATTATATATTATTATGAAAATCTTGTCAATTATTACTCCCATTATTACACTCGTTTTTTCGTTACATGTTGCCCCAAAAACACATTAATATGCAAATTAGATTTAGTTTATTATACATTGTATATGAGAAAACCCATTTATGGCAATTTTACACACATTTTGCATGAAGAAAAATTGTATATTAAATCATTCTGTTATAATATAGTTGAGAATCATCTTTATACAAAGTTCTGAAAAATCCTGAAAACTAAAAATGTATTGATTTTAAAAATCTATTGTTTTTGCCTATGCATGTTCATGTTTTTAAATTGAGTCCCGATGTCCTCTACCGAGGACATAGCATAACCTATGAATGAAATATAATTTTTTACATTTTTTTTTAATGCTCTAAACAATGTAAAGACATGAAAAAAACTATTTTTTTCCTAAAAATCTTTTCTCGGGTCTTAAGAGGTTAAGTCTGTATTTTTGGACAGTAATGTTGATCCAGGATCAACAAAAGATGTTGATCCAGGAAAATGTCTTGGCAAAATCACAGCGACCAGGGTTGATGTCACCGTCACCAGCCAGTGGTTCTCAATCCTGCATCCCCTTGCTTTTGTACTCGTGTTTCTGATTCTCTGCAGCTCCTATGCAGACTCCTCTTCATCATCATCATCATCATCATCTTCTTCTTCTTTTTAAGCAATAACATTGTAACCTTATGAAGACAATTAGCTATTTCTGTGCATAATGCAGATTAGGTTATTCTAATAAAGCAGGTTAATATGTGGCTTGTTTTGTGGTGCAGTTTAAACCAATAAACTTTTATTTCTCATTTTAAAAAGGTAAAAATGATTGCTTAATTGATATTTTTTAAACAATGAAGTCAATATCATTTATAAAAAAAAATGTCAAATGACATGTTGCATGATTTTAATTGTTTCATTTTTCAAAACCCCAGCTACATGCCAGGTGAATTTTATTTTGGATAATAGTTTATTAAACATGTCTTATAAGTCTTCGTCGATTAAATGCAGTCAACGAAGTTCAACTGCTTAAAAGTCGCCTATGAACACATCTGAGCACGGAAGTGCACGTCCAATACATCAAGCTCATGAATATGATACCGAAAGTAACTTTAACTTGCTAAAACCCTGCTCAAGTTCGAAGACAATCAGGTAAGAACTCTGAAAATGTCAAATAGGCCTATTTATTGGTAGGATTTAGCCTATACAGCGCGTCATTATTTTCTCAAACAATGAAAGTAGCAAGGCTACCTCAGAAAACGCGAAATGATTGAGGAAATGTTTGTTTTATTGGCTGATTTTTTTTCTTTGTTCTCCTTTATATCTATGTGTGACAATCGTTTATCGTTGTTTATCGCCAGGCTTAGCAACACGTCAAAATGGCAAATCTAAAAGATGACATAATGAAACTCTGCTGTGAAATCTCCACAAATAAGAGGATAAAAGCTGCATTTAAAAACTCAGCGAAAGGAGCCGTAGTTACAGGAGGAACTGCTTTTGTTGGAGGGCTGATCGGTGGTCCTGCCGGTATAGCTGTTGGTAGGCTGTTACTTTTATCCGCAATTTTTTTTCTTTCCGTCTAGTTCACTTCTTAACCACAAGATGTTGCTATAGTATTATTTTATTCATTTCTATTACTCAAGGTGCTGTTGTGGGAGGTGCGCTGGGCGGATGGATGACCAGCGGCCAATTCAAACCTCTTCCTGAGATCCTCATGGAAATGAGTCATACACAGCAAGAGAAACTGTACTCCGATGTCATGGCCATAGTGGGTACACTGAAATGGACTGAGGTTGCGCAGCTGATTGCTCAAGTTAATGGGAATGCCTCTCTACATGAGCAGGTGCTGGGTGCTGTACTTAATTTTACTAAAAACCAACTCAAAGCTGATGTGCGGTATGAAGACTGACCGCTGGAGGGTGAATGTCACTGGTTCAGTTTTGGTTATTTGTTACAGAACTAGAAGGACAAGTTGCTACTAGTTTGCATTATTCTTTAAAAGGCTGATGATGCACAGGGCAACTTTTTGAGCAATTTTGCCGGGCAACGTTTTTTTAGCAATGTTGTTTGGGCACTTTCCCATTGAGGATGGGTAACACATTTCTGGATACTTTAGATCAGTCGTGGGCCCTGTGTCTCACCTGGTTGGCCGTTGACAGCAACATTGCATTGCCCAAAGTTGCCCAGCAACATTGCTCAAAAAGTTGCCCCATGTATAATCAGCCTTTCTATCACACGTGAATTTTTTATAAAACACTATATGATGAGATGTAAGATGCAACTACGCTAAATTGGAACTTGTAAAAAATATTTAGGCCAGACATTTTACATATCAGAAAAATAGACATGATCATACATGATCAAAAGCAGATGTTCTCATCATCCTTTTAATTTGTCAATGCAAAATGTATAATGTAGGTGTCACTGCGTGTTGACATGAATGCATAAAAATACATAATGGTGATGTGTAAATGTGTTTTTATCCCAAGACAAAAGTGCAAAATAGAAAAGTTATTGTTCCATTAAAAAGAAATACAAACAAACAAAAAACAAAAATTAAAAATAACAGCGGCCTTGTATGTATGTATGTGTGTGTGTGTGTGTGTGTGTGTATATATATATATATATATATATATATATAAAAATGCTGTTATGCTTTTTCTTGGTCTGAAAAAGATAAAATGTGAGCGGTTCTGTGGGTGAAAATGCCTTGTTGGCACAGGAGAATGGCCAGACTGGTTCGAGCTGATATGAAGGTAACAATAACTCTAATAACCCCTTGTTACGATTGAGGTATGCAGAAGAATATCTCTGACCGCTCAACACGTTGAAACTTGAAGTAGATGGGGTGTAGCAGCAGAATACCACACCGATTGCCGCTCCTGTCAGCTAAGAACAGGAAACTCAGGCTACAATTTGCAGGATAACGCGTCATGTCACAAAGCTCAATTCACTTCAAACTGGTTTCTCCAACATGACTCTGAGTTCACTATAATCAAATGGCCTCCATGGTCACCAGATCCCAATCCGATATGTGATGGTGGAATGGGAGATTTGCATCAGGATGTGTAGGAACTGTGTGATCATCTCTTTATGGACCACAATCTCTGAGGAATGTCTCCAGCACCTTGTTGAACTGATACCACGAAGAATTAAAGCAGTTTTGAAGTCAAAATAGGGTCCAACCCAGTACTAGAAAGGCGTAAACCGGTGATTTCTGTCAGGGCGCATTTTCTGTTTTGTCCAATAGGTAAAAAAAAAAGTACTGCATACGCTTTTCATACAGGTTGTTTGGCAGTTTCTCAACACAGTTACATTACATTTAGGCGATGCTCCGAAATAAAGTAAAAGCATTATGCGAAGTATCATAAGCATAACACCAGCTAAAGTGTCAGCTGCACACAGCAGCGGAGCAGAGTGCGGAAGTGTGATGCCACTCGCAGAAACTGAAAGTAGCGTCAACAAAAGAAAGAGGTAGGCTAAAGTCTGACAATTATATCAAAGCTCTAATATGTTTATAAAACAAAATATTGTCAAAAGCAGACGTAGGCTGTGCAAATTTACATACTTTATGTAGCCTAACTTGTTTAGCCTCATAACTTGTTTAGCTTTCTTTAGTTTGTTGTAGTTAGTTTGTTGATAGAAACCATAGTTTATATACGAGTTTACGATTGTGTGGGGTGTTAAATCTTACATTTGAGAGTAGTCAGCTCTTTGATTCATGTTTCTCCTCCTCAGGCAGTGTTTGAACACAACACAATGAGCCATCAAATAGACGATGTAATGGCGCTCTGCTGTAAGATCTCAGAGAGCAGGCAGATTAAAGCGGCTGTACAGAACTCAGCCAAAGGAGCTGCTGTTGCTGGTGGAGGGGCTTTTGTAGGGGGGCTGCTCGGAGGTCCACCCGGTTTATTTATTGGTACGTATGCTTGTCCACAAACTTTGACCCACTTCACTTCTTAACCACAGAGTGGCGCTATAATATCATATATAAACAATTGTATGGTGGTTTGTTCTCTGAAGCTAGTAGGGGAGAGCGGGGCACATGTAACACTTTTTGACTTTCTCAGTTTGTGTAAATCCACATGGGTTCAGAATATAATTTTTTTACCCACAGTAATTTTACACTTGTCTTGTACAAATATGTCGCTTTGTTTCATAATTACAGTGTATACGTTTTTCTTTATTTACCCTCAAAAAAGGTTAGTGTCTTCTGCTAGTTATCAAAGCATAAAAAAATTATCTGAACTGATAAATAACAGATTGGAGATTAAAATAATAGCAGATTTGTCTCATTTTAAATGAATAATAAAAACTGAGATGAAAAATTTACTTAAGCCAGAATTGTAATTTTACTATGGTAAAATAAATGTTCAGCAATATCTTCAAAAGATTTTTGAGTTTTGGCGCACAAATTTTTTTTTAAATTTCTATATAATGTTAATATGGTAACTAATAAATACTGTAAATTTTGTTATGCTAGTATGTGTGGAAATATTCAAACCATGTGTGTTACAACTAACCCCGCGTTACTTTGTGCCTCACTCCCCTATGTTGACTTTTTTTTTTGTAATAACAGTAAAGATTCTGGCATCATTGGTTTCATGAAGAACCTTAAACCAAATCCTTATTAACCGTATTTCGATTAGCCTGTGTAGAAAATGTTGGAACAAATTCATCAATGAAGTCAATGTTTAGACAATTTAATTTGATCAACTTTAAATGTCAAGTGAAGAAAACCGATTATGTTATCGATTAACAATTATGGACAGTCTATTTAGTGAACCTAGTGCATCTTTAGCAGTTTGTTTCTTTGTCCTACTTGATCTCCATTTCCTATTATCGTACGCAGGTAGTGCTTTGGGAGGTGCCGTGGGATGGTGGATGACTAGTGGCAAATTCCATCCTCTTCACCAGATCATAATGGAGATGCCTCGTCAACAGAAGAGGAAACTGTACTCTGAGGTCATGGCAGTACTGGGCAAACTGGACTGGGTTGATCTGGCTCAACTCATTTTTCTAGTGATGGGTAATTCCTCTCTACAAATGCGAGTACTTACTACTTTAATCTCTTTTGCCACAAAAGAGCTCGGAGCCAAAGTGGAGTATGTACAAAGATAGTGTGTTAAAGTCACCGGCTTAGTCTAAGCCAAGTTTGACTATCTGAAGAGCTTGTTTAATTTAGGTGTTTTTGTTGTTTCTGAAAGATGTGTTTTTACTTAAATTTTTTCTTTATTATAAAGATGCTTGTAGGTGTTATGGTCGACTCCTTTCCCTATATTTCTATTTGAATCCAGTTTACCAGAGCCACAGAGTTTCACTGTAAACCTCAACATGTTTAAAATATTTAAATGTTTAAAATGAATGAAATTCAAAAGAAATTGAGTAATGAATTAGTGAGTCAATCTGAGTAATTAAGCAATAATCCTTTCTAAAACACGTAAAATCAAGACCACCTCATTAGCCATTTCAGTACAGTTAAAGAGATTGTACACTAAAAAAAATGAAAATTCAGTAATTTACTCACACCACTTGTGATGTGTGACTTTCCATTATATGGACCAAAAAAAAACACTGAGACATTCTGCAAATAAATATTTTATGTTCTACAAAAGAAAGAATGCCATACATGTTTGGAACGACATGAGGGTGAGTAAATGATGTCAGAATTTTCATTTTTTGGTGAATGATACATTTTATCAGTTAAGCAGAGTTAACTTTTCGATTTGTTTTTTACATATTAATTTAAATTGTATTTTCTTAAAACATAGTATAGGATATAGTTGGGAATATAGTATTGGATATAGTTGACCTGAATCAGATTCATCTTTTAATTTGAGTTTTTCTTTAAGGCTGGAATACACTTACACGACTTTTAATGTCTGAACAGATTTGAAAACATTAGGCATCATACACTTACTGACTTTGTAAAGAGTCACAAAGGAAAACTGGTCACGACTGAGGATCATACACTACCAGACTTTCAAGTTGTTCCGATCACAACACACTCACGCAGAAACGTGTGCCTTGTTGATAGAAGACGCGTGACAAATGAAAAAAATATGTGTTCTGAAACTGGCTCAAAATATCAAACATGTTTGATATCCTCTGACTGGATGAATTCATAGTCTGTAGCTAAAAAAATAAAGAGTCTGTGACCATCATACACTACACGATTTTTTGTGGAATCTGTCCACTCAAATCCGCAGACTGGCTCTACTAGTGTTGACTTATCCAAACGGTAAATCGGGGGCAAAATTCGTGTAGTGCATTCCAGCCTTTATGCAATAATCCATTTATATGATATATATATGCATTCGTAGAGAATTACGCTAAGGGTCTACCTAAGCAGGATCTACCTAAAAGAACACGAATCACTATAACAGGGACTTAAATGACTTTCTTTTGATTCAATAACAACTATTTACACAAAATTATTTTCACATAAATGCTGAAAGCTTCAGTGTTATTTGGGGGCTGCACACTGCAAGATAAAATGTAACTCTCATTGTAATTGTAACATGATTGACATGGCGTTATTATTATTATATCTGCAGGAATAACCCATTAACACATATACCATATGTTATTTTATTTGTGTTTACCTGGCGCATTATATGCACTACCGTTCAAAACTTTGGGGTTGGTAAGGTTTAAATTATTTTTTATTTAAAAAAAAAAAGTCTCTTATGCTCATCAGTGCTGCATTTATTTAATCAAAAATACAGTAATATTGTGAACTATTATTACATTTAAAATTTTAAAAGTTTTAATATATTTTAAAATGTAATTCAAGCAGCCATTAATCCAGTCTTCAGTGTCACATGATCCTTCAGAAATCATTCTAATATGCTGATTTGGTGCTCAAGAAACATTTATTTTTTTTATCAATGTTGAAATCAGTTGTGCTGCTTAATATTTTCGTGGGAAATGTGATTTATTTTTTTTTGATGAAGAGAAAACTCAAACGAACAGCATTTATATGAAACAGAAATCTTTTGTAACATTATGAATGTCTTTACTGTCACTTCTGATCAATTTAATGCATCATTGCTGAATAAAAGCATCATGTATGACATGTTTAATTTTGTCATGTAGATTGAGATTACAAGCGGTTAATGTAGACTATTTAAAATCCAAATGTTTTCATGTTAAGAGGTGTGTGGACTGGATAGGCCACACAAAATTGAATCACATCATCATTTGAGCTTAATAATGTTGTAGAATACTGGCAATATTGCTTCTTGAGTGTGGAAGAAATGGAGGATGTTTTCATGTTTAGAAAATGCTATTAAAAAGCTAAGTTGATTAGTCTGATGATGATTTCATTTTGTTTAGTTTTTTCTCATCACATTTCTTTGAAAATGAGAAGCGGTTGGCCATTAAACCACAATGCCTTACTCTTTTTGCACTGTACTCTGTGATTCGTGCCAGTTTATGTGGTTTGCTGGATAACAGAACACTTGTTCTTAGAATAGCCTCTCTGAGGTCATAAGCTACACTCACACCCCATGAGAACTAAACCAGAAGAAATTCACTTTGTTCTACAAATATAAGTGCAAACACCAATTTATCAAATGAAATACTTCAAACAGTTAAAAGAAGAACACAGTGAATTATCATTTATTTTTACTACAAGATGACTGTCAAGGTTGTATAACGTCAGTTGTTTGCCAAGAAAAACGTAACTGCTTCCTCATTTCGAGATGTGTATGCATTTACTGATTGTCCCCTGAATAGTACAACATAGCATGCTGGCGGTAAACATGAAAAGACAGCAGCATGAAAAGACTTAAAACCCGCAGGTACATGTGCACTCAATGATGACCTTAAAAAATACTTCACCAAAAAAGAAAAATATGTCATTGTTTTACCTACTTTCATGAAATTTCAAACCCAAATGATTTTCTTTCTTCTATGGAACATAAAAGATATTTAGAGAAATGTCATGCTTATTGTGTCTGTGTGTGTTTGTTTCCATACAATTTAAGTCAGTGGTCACCAAAAGTTTGGTTACCAACATTCCTCAGAATATCTTCTGTTTTGTTCTGCAGAAGAAAAAAAGTCAAACAGGTTTGTTACAACATGAGGATGAGTAAACAATGACAACATTTTTATATGCCTTTAAGGGCAGCAAAACCCGAAAACATTTCAAATTTAAGTGTTTTCAATGTAAAATACAATTTCAGTATAGTTTATAATATATTTTTTCATATATTGTGCATAGTCACATTATTTGTGCATTTAATGTCATGTCTGTCCTACTGCCTGCAATGCAAATAAATTAAGCTTGTTCACTACCACTCCGTTAAGCATGAGACAAATAATCTTTCAACTTTAGAATGAACTTTGCTTCACTCCAATTCCCAGAATCAAGCTCATGGAGCTTCTGTACCATAAGACACTGCAGTGGACTGAAACTCACAATGTGTCTCTTTTTTATAATTTTGCTCAGTTTGCATACAGTTTTCTTTGGTAATTGGTCTCTGATCAAGTGGGTTGCGTTTTAACACAATTTGTGGGTTTCCTGCTCTATATTCATCTGTCTAATAACAAGTGAAGTATGTGAAAGTTGATCTCAGCTGCTGAACTGGTTTTGTTAGTTACTGGAGATACATTGTTATGTGCCAAAATTCTGTCATGGAAATTCTGTTGGACATTTTGCAAAACGGAAAAGGTTTTAGAGTTATTTACTCTCTTCCCGCTATCATATGTATCGTGTACAGTTCTCATGAGAGGGAAAACTGCTTCAGCCTGCATGTGCACTTTACAACTCACTTAGGAGTCTTTCCCTCTTCAGCTCTCTTGCCTTGGTAAAATTATGCTAAATTGATGGTCCTCTGATTATTTTCAGAGTAATTGCCTGAGACTAAGTGATTGTTTAACAGAGATAAATGTTAGTTTTGTTTTGTAAGCCACACAATCAATTTGCCTTGTTCAACCAGTCGTACACTCTAAAACAAGATGGCTCTGTAGAGGTTCTTTACTTGTTCTATTTAGAACCGTATCCTTCTGAAGAACAGTTTTATGCTAAAATGATTTTAGTTGTTGTTGTTGTTGCCGGCACTGAAGTCGGCACTGAAGTCACAGACTGAAGTTGGAAACATAACATGGAAGTAACCTAAACAAAAGTATTATATTGTGAACATTAAACCCAAATAATTACATCTATTCAAAATAATGAAAAATATTCATTCCTATTACTCATCTATGTATGTTATCACAAATATATGTGAGGCGATCTGTGCAAGTTGAGGGATTAACACCCTTCTCCTCTCAGAATCAGAAAGAGCTTTATTGCCAAGTATGTTTGCACATACAAGGAATTTGTTCTGGTGACAGAAGCTTCCAGTACACATAGACAACAACAACAAAACACAGATAATAAGAAATAAAGACGTGAATAAAACACACACACACACACACACACACACACACACACACACACACACACACACACACACACAAAGAAAGAGAGAGGTCTTTATATATATATATATATAAACAGAAATAGACAAACTTTGTATGTACTGTACAGTTGTGGTATATACTGTATATGGAATAGAATAGAATTTAAAAGGAATGGAATAAGATAGGATAGTATTAAGTAAATTAAATAGGTATTGCACATCTTTTTATTGAACAGTAGGGGAGAACATTTAACTGTTCATGAGGTAGATTTCCTGGGGAAAGAAACTTTTCTTGTGTCTGACTGTCCTGGTGTTCGGTGCTCTGTAGCGTCGACCAGACGGTAAAAGTTCAAAAAGGAGATAGCTTGGATGTGAGGGATCCAGAGTGATTTTCTAAGCCCATTTCCTCACTCTGGATATTTACAGGTCTTGAAGGGTGGGCAGGGGAGCACCAATAATCCTTTCAGCAGTCCGAACTGTCCTCTGTAGTCTTCTAATGTCTCAGCTGGCGAAGGAAGTACAATCTCTGTTGGGCCTTTTTAACAGTGGAGTCAATGTGATTCTCCCACATCAGGTCCTGAGAGATGGTGGTGCCCAGTGGCGGGTTGCATAAACTGCTTAGACTAGTCTTAAAGGGGTCATATGATGCGATTTAAATGTTTCCTTTCTCTTTGGAGTGTTACAAGCTCT